AAATTGGGATGTAGCGTGAATCAGATTTCGTCGATCCCTGCTAACCGAAAAGTACTGTACAAAATTCTTCGACAATAGTGGAATAATGTACTATAACTAATAACAACAACATTTATTCAAAAATTGAATATTAGGAAAACATCGGGAACAAATCTTCGAACGTTTACAATGAACTTCACTGCTTACACTTGTCAAATAAAATATAAAATATTTTCTTGATCGGCACATTTGATATGTGCCCAATCCTTACATGCGATACACCGAGTCTTCGTGAATGAATATTTAATCTTGACCTCGCATATAAAAAACTTCATCGAAAGTCCTTTACAATCTGAGAAGCCATATTCGTATTTTTGCCAACTTGGATCGCTCTCGTTCGATATACTAAGAGTTTTAGGAACAGAAAGTGTCTAACTGCCTGTCGTTAGGTTATTATATTGTTCACAAGAACTTCATCTATTGCCATATCCATGCCAGTGATCCATTTTACTTTATCACTTTCTGCCATTTTTCTCTTAACTAATCATCTCAAAAGAAGAATTAGAGCCGCGAAAATAACCTTTGACGCACTAACACCAACAAAGCACCTTCTCTGGCTCGTAGTTCCCACAACCCAAACCAGACAAAATAGCCCCCGAAGTATATGACCTATAACGGTGATATTCTGCGTGCCTGTAGAATGCCGCTACTTAGCTCCAGTAGCGAAAAACTAGTAATGGTCGGTACTGTACGACTCTCCACTTATAAATTGATGTTTTTCGTGTCATAGCAGAAATAGTTTAACACCCTCTGTTCTGTTTCGAAAATGATAGGTATTCGCCATATCCCGAGAAGTTCCAGAGCCAATAATTGGTATATAAAAAGATAAAACTTCTTCAAAGCGAATATATTTTATGCAATTATTTCTTATTTTTACCTAAAGTAGCGATTAAAGTAGAAAATAATTTCAGTACAGTATATTACCTATTATTTTCACAGATAAACACAATTTATTATAGCTTGACGATGACCGTTGGCTTTTGTAATTTCTGTATTTCCGATAAGATTTCTGGTTGTTTTCGTAGTGCGCAATTACGTATAATCAGTATGCGTCGTTGAATTTAATAATGCGATAGCCGTAATGGCAGTAACTGCAAAGAATCGTTCGCTGTAGTAAAATAATTCTAAAAACCTTCTCAGATCATTCGGGACTAATTCTTGTCTTTACAGTTATTTCACGTGTAATGTGAAACGTTTAAATCGAGCCCGTGCGTATTTCTCAATAACTGACGTAATTGTTTGTAATTGCGTGTAGTTATGCCGTTACAACGTTTAAGGAAATCGTGAACTCTGTTGTTATAGCAATTTGTATTAATTTTAAAGTCTAATTTATAGATTAAACCTTCGTGCATCTATAAAATTACCTACAAATGTTAACTTCTTACAAATTTAAACTAAAGTATAAGCGACTTATTTTATTTATTAGGGAAAAAGGTTATTTGTTCTACCAGCCATTACAATTACTCCATTATATGTTAATCCCAATACACAGAATGAAAAAAGCATTTGTCTGAAAACAGCAAACAGCTAAGGATTCCTATTTACAAAGAAGTGTAAATATTCCAGTCTAAAATTTCTATCTTTTTAAATTATTAAAATAATTTTTTTGAATAAGAAATGTAAATAAACTAAGGCTGCGTGATTGGAAATATACATTTATTAATATTCATAAAAATAGTATATACATAAAAATGATATTTATATGCACAAAACGGCACATGCATCTTTTAGTTTTTTTCCTTTATGTATGGTCAACTCTTCAATGTTTATCAGTCTTTATATTAAAAAAATTAACAAATTAATGTCAAAAGTAATTTCTGTAAAAAAAAGTAATAAATAATAAAGAAACAAAATATATTTTTTAAGCTAATTGTTACATATGACAATCACTGATGCTTTAATCTGAATTTCCAAATTTTTTCTCGTTTTTAGTTACGTAATAAGCAGCTTATGATTCTGACTAGATTATTGCTGATGAATAATTTTTGTAAGCTTATGTATGATTCACGATGACTAATTTAAAACATACCATCGTGAATGCCGATAGGTATCAAAACCAAAAAGAATATAACTACGTTACGGACCAGATACCTCCAATCTCCGGGAATGGCATACTTGACGAGAACTCTGGTGAGATGATGCACTTCGTGGGCGATGCATACAAATATAAATGAAGTGACCATAACGTTAAGCACGGGATAACCGGGCACCAAAACCAGAACGCCGTGAGTGTCGGCAGCCAGCCAAATGTGATACTGAGCTATGAAGAGCTAAATAAAATAAAATATAAATATAAATTATAAAATTCCTAAGGATTTGTCAAATAAGTGATTCCACAATCCGAGGACCCGAATATCTTTCTCTAGAAGTATTCCTATAGAAAGATATTCGGATGCTCGGACCTACTAAAGAAGTGCGCATTGCAACGTGTAGAGATCCCTGGAATATTTGCATAAATCAAAACCTATAACTCTTCGGTGAATCTTTGTTGTTAACAATTAGTCTAATTGCCCCTTATTTACTGGAAAAAGTTCTAGAAAAGTGGATCAACTTAAAAATAGATTACTAAGATTGGACTGTTAACAACAGTGTGTGTTAAAAGGAAGTGAAGATGATCTAACGTATACTTACAGTATGTCTTTGAATCATAAATCATTATACCCTAACATTAAACAGGACCTCACCTTCTAAGAGTTGTTGATGGAAAGTGGTCTTCAAAATCTTGACTTCTAGGAACTCTCTTTCCTAGCAACAACCATATTTATATGTCAATAAATATAAATCACATATTTTATATATGATTTATATTTGTCATGAATTTTTGACTATACAATCTGTAGGAAAGATGACTACTGGCCCCTTTACACTTACTTCACTTAAGGATCAAGCTAATTACAAGACCACTATTTAAGGTTCTGATTAAGAGAGCTTTGGATCTATGCTCTAATTAGGAATATTTGTAGGAAGAACTACACTTCCTATGGGGAACAGTAAATCAGCATGGTATTAGTGGCTTTTATTTTGATAAACTTTTTGCAAACATACTGAACAGGGATCACAGAAAGATCATCATCACCAGAGAAAAGCATAGGGCAGTCCTTCCACTACATACTGGATTGAAAAGCAGGTTTCTATAAATACCTAGAGAATCTTACCAACAAAAAACCTGCCATTAAAAGAAATTTAACTGACTGTTTATTAAGGATTGATAGAGAGAAGAGGAAGCAAAGAGAAAAATCAGTAACTATGAAATTCCTTACACAGGATAAAGTAAAACAAAAAAAGTTCTATGTAGATATGACTTAAGATTGCTGGGCATTAGACCTAGGAAGCAGAAATAAAATGCAAAGAAGAAGAAAAATTTATGCGATTAGCAGAAGAAAGTCTAAAAGAAGGAAGTGTGATAGAGCGGAAGAGAACCATATACTATAGAAAATTAGAGGAAAAAATAACATAAGGTGCATTTGGTAATAGTGGTTGCTCTGCATCTCCTGTACTACAGGAATGAACTGTTGTTTGTAGGAATTTAGGAACAACGGAGAAAGAAAGATAAAGATAGCAGCACCCATACTAACATAGTATCATGGTGGTGGGATCTATGATTTTTAAAGTATGCATTTTTAGAGACAAAAGTTAAAAGAAGGATCCCAATTGCAAAATTTAAAGATAAGTTGGATCATCTTGCCGACAGAGCAAGTAGTCACGAAAAAAGTTAGAATGTCGGCTACCATTGGAAAAAAATTTGAGATAACACTTACATCATAGTGCACACATTGTGAAAATTTACAACTTTTAAATTTTCATTCATAAACCACATAATGGACACTGAAACAAAATGGAAGATGCCATGTTGCTTTCCACCATAAACTACTACTACTACTACTAGTGACCATTTCTACCACACAACAGCATGCACTCTGACAGGAATATAGGAATGCATTCTGAAGGAATTTTTAAATGGATGCAGAACGTTATGCATCCATTTAAAAATGAAGAATGAAAGTTATGCACAGAAATAAAGGAATGCACCCATAGCTGATGTGGAGAGGCTTTGGATTTTTAAGGCAGGCATATTCTCATACAAACATGTAATTAATGTCAAGGATGCAAAAACCTATCCTAACATGTGGAAATGGTATCTACATAATAAGAGCACAAGCATATGATAAGTAATGAGTGCATAGTGGAAGATGTATAGGAATCCTTTGTAATTTATTATTACTTTCAATTAACTTATAATTATTTTTCTTGCTTGTAAGTGGATTTTATCAACGAATACCATGTCATAGCATTTAAACTTTAAGTCTTAGGTTTACTTAACCATTGATGGCTTTCAAACTATCAGAATTTTGTGGATGTATTCAAATTTAGTTTTATGAGCTGCCTCTGAAGATAAGCTGTTTAGCTTGAAAGTACTAAGACAGCTTTGTAGTTTTCTGTAACCTTTTTAAATGAATAACTAACTAACTAAATATAATACTCTATATTTTCCATATTTTTTAAAATAACAGTAGGATTAAAAAATCATAAAACTGAAGAAGACTACTGGCAACAAATAGAAAATTTATTTGTGCTAATAAGCTTAATTGAATAAGTTTGAATTCACTTCAGTTATGTAATACATTGATGTTTGACAGTTTTGCCTCAACCTAATCAAAATCCACATCTTAATTTTAACTTAATGAGCCATTAAAACTTCAATGCTCCAAACTTAGATTTTTAAAATAACAGTCATTATAATGCTTTTTTATTTTGATGAGATACATTAAATCCATTTCACAGCTGAAAGTATCTGTTAAATTTTAGTAAAGGTTGGTGAAACCAGACATTAGCCAGCATATTCAATTTCTTGCAATATTAAAATACCTCTAAGAAAATTATTGAAGACTCGAACATAGCAAGAATTTTAACAAACACTATACAGTTTATTGTATACCATTTACCTGATTTTATTTAATATTAATTATNTGTGTGGCTGTTTATCGATTCCGTTCGAGTCTACACCGGATTCGATGATTTCCTTCCATCTTTCCGAGTAAGCAACGTGTAAAAGCGTTAGGTAACTCATCCCAATATGATCGAAATTAATTTTTGGTGTTAGCCACGTGAAGTTTTTCTCGTCGCAATCCGTTCGTTTGTCTATAACATCAGACATGAGTTTATTTTTGTCGTCGTCCGCGCAATACTGAAATTTTCCTGAAAATATTTGTACTCCTAGAATGGCGAATGTTAACCATATGTAAAGGCAGATTAAGAGAACTTTAAATACGGATCCGACCGATAAAAGAACCGCTTTTGTAATGATTTGCAGTTTTGTCCATTGAGTGATACGCTGAATAGATTTCAAAATTCTCAGCAGACGAAATACACGAACCGTGACGAGTCGAATTCCAAATATTCTTCTGAAAAACACGCTTACGATGCAAAGTAACATTATACAAAAATCAAAAAGTAGAAAACCCGAAATGCACGTGTCCAGAGCAAATATTCTCATCATTGTTTCTACGATAAAAAGTACGGTAAAACAGTTATTTGTCGTTTCTACGGTGTGTGAGAGTTTTGGATCTGCTTCTAAAGACGAAAGAGGAAAGCATATGGGAATTATGCTGACGACGATGGTAATCAGACTCAGAATTTCAAAACATTTACTTTCAGTTATTGACTTTGTCTTAAGATGAAGTCCTCTCGAAATATTTCGAATTATCCGAGGACAGAAAGAATACATTTCACTTATTTGTTTTTCGAGTATACTTTTATCCGAAATTCCAAAGTTCGTTCTTCGTTGCGATCGACGTTTATCCTTTCTCCAAAACGAAAATCTTTTCAGTTTTTGTTTCAGGTATTTCACCACTTGTCTTGTATTTTCTGTATCTTCATCCTGCGTGTCTTTGAATGTCTCTATCTTGAATCCACCCAATAGCACAGCCATAAAAAGATTAAGAATGACAAAATATCCGATGACAAAGCACGAAATTATTAGCGTGGCACAAATTAATTTTCTTTCTGTCATTACGGTAATGCAGTCGTACATACTATCGGTCCATTCGCCGAGTAATATTTTAAAAATAGCCAATAAGGAATGGAACAAATCGAGAAATGTCCATCGATCGATATAAAATTGTTTGTGTTGTTCGAATTCCTTTTTCAACCAACCGGTACCGATGACGGCAAAAATGTACATAACAAAAAAGAGGATAAACGACAATCCCGCTAATGATAAGAATGAATGGCTAATGACAGTTACTATTTTTTTCATCACCGTTAACGACTGCGATAACTTCATTAAACGGATCAAGTGTAGAGATTTAAAAACACTTAACTTAAGAAACGTCGATATGAACATTTCTATATTACTAAATACTACGACTATTCCATCAAAAACTCTCCAGCCGTCGTTGGCAAATCCGCCTTCGTACACAATAATAGTTAAAAATAGATCTAAAGTAGCGATGCAAGTCAGTGCCTGGTTTCAGTGTATCAGAAAACGATGAAATGTTTCAGACATTCCGTAGTGTTCGCAAGCCAGTAGTAGTGTTCCCATTACTATAGTAAAGAATCTGAACGTCTCCGTCACCGGACTATGAATGAAAGAGTAACATTTCATTCGTACTTGTCTCCAAAAACTCAATTTCTCAAGCACCTCGTATTCTACCGACGACTGCTCGTAATCGATCGTCTCTTCCAACTTATTTTCAGACGAATGTTGACGAACGTCTACGGTAACCGTTGGACACCTCTTTTGTAAATATTCTTTAGGAGCTTTGGTATATTTTACTAGTTGAACATTATTAAGATTAAAGGCAAACTGTTCCGCTTCCCGAAAGTATTCTACGTTTCCTTTAATTTCGGAATCTTCTCTTTCTTCTTCCAAAATATCTTGATACGAACTGGCTACAATAGCCAGCATAATATTCAAAAGGAAATAAGTTCCAAAAAATATGAGTGGAGCGAAAAAGAAAATACTGAATGAGCCCGCCGTGTAAAAGATACTTTTGTAAATTTTTTCCCAGTCATCTAGCGTAATGATGCTAAATACACAAAACACAGAGGAAAGGAAGGTATCGAAATGCAGTACGTAATCTGCTTGATTTATACCAGAGTCTTTCAGGCACTTATAACCACGAGGACAGTGTCTAGATCCCGTTATATTTCCACAACTGATAGGCTGTCCCTCGTCGTCCGACAACCAATACGATTTGTTTTGAATGTTAGACAGAGTGAACGGAATGTTGTCGGAAACGCATTTTTGTAAAAGGACTCCCATAAACAACTCTTTCGCTACAAGACTAGTAGTTATTACGAAAAGGATTGTAAGCAACGTGATGCCAGCCATAGCTCTAATAGATCGTAGCATTCCGATGGCGATTGTGCGAAGACCCGATATAATGGAAATTATCTTCAGAATTATAATTGCTTTCAGCGATCTTATTTCATTCATATATTCATTTTGATAGTCGAAGACGTTCAAGCCGAATGTAACAGTATTCATTACAACCATAATAAAATCGAACCATCTCCACGGGGATCTTAAGTAAGTAAAATTTCCTACGACAAATCCGCGAGCGATGCAATACAGCATTAATTCAAGAATATAAATCGAGACAAATAAATAATCCAAATTGTAATCGGACTTGTGCGCCAATAAAATGCAATTAAAAATAACGGTTACGATAATGAATCTATCGAAAAACTTGTGAGTTACGATATAGCAGGCGATTCTTCTAATCCAATTGGTGGGTCCAAACAGATATAGCGATTTCTCTTCGTTGAATCTGTAGACATAATCTTTTCCAAATTTATGGGAGATCATGCAGAATGTCCCCGCGGTCGAGGGATCGATGTCTTCCAGTACGGCTCCTCTCGCATCCTGAAGAGGAATCACACTTTGACCATCGTTTGCTTCGGTAAATTCGTGTTTAGGTGTGTCCATTTCTTTATTTTTTCCAAATTATTCGCGTAAAAATTATAGCTTAGCCGTTGAATAAATTATTCTATTCGATTTTCCAGCATTCAAATCGGATACACTCAATTCGATTCGCATTCGAAATACGTTTTAATACGTTTCGTCGTCCGCAATTTCAAATATTAATTTTAACGTAATAAAAATTTAAAATGTTTTAAAAAGTTATTAAGTATTTATAGGCGTGAAAGATTAATAAAATTAATAATTTTAAATATACGTTTATTCTAATAATCTTACTTATCAAAACAACGTAATCTTAAGAATTTTTTTAAAATTTAATTAGAAAAATGCTTTATATAAAATTCTATTAGACATTTCATCGAAATTAATTTTAAATTTCTTAGGTTGATTACAAAATTGATTTTAAATCGAACGACTTTGACAATACTGCCTTGGCTGTTACGTACACATAAATACAGTCGACCCCCCTATAACATTGTTTGTAATTCCGTTTTATATGAATTCCATGTTGTACGAGTCACTTAGATTTTACAAATAAGTGAGCCGTTCACAGTCAGGCACACGTATTTGTAAAATCTAAGTGACTCGTACAACACCGAATTCATATAAAACGGAATTATCAACAGTTATAGTTATGTATAGTTATCTAAATTGTGTAAAGGGAATCGTGTCAAATTTGACCCTCCGAATTTTTTCCAAATATCCATCTTTTGAAATCTCCCGAAAAAGTCAAAACAACGGCAAAAAAATTCGTGGATATTTACAGTACGGTGTGTTTCGTTTAATAACTCGGAATGAGGTAACGATTGAGAAAGGAAATTTGCTTCTTACGCGCAAGCTACTTTGCTTGTGTCTACGTAGCATCGATGCTATTAAATTTTAGTGACAGAAGATCGAGGATCGGACTTAATGATTTCACTCGTTAGCAGATTTTTATGAAACTCGTCTTCTACCCTAAAAATTAATCATTTTGTCGTTTTATAATAATAAAAATATGAGATTTTGTTATAAAACGTTTCTATATCAGCCGGGGAAGTTACGCAACTCGTTGTTGGACTTTTTGGTTAGCAGGGCGCCATGTTTACTACTGTTCTTGTCTGTACTATAGATTACCACCTAAGGAATTTCGGGACTTAGAGTATATATTTGAACCGAGGGGACCGAGACGAGTTCAACGGTACCCTACTTTTGAACCGGAGACGAAAAATTAGAAAATTATAATATTTACAATTTCTTGCCTTTCGCGGTGCTTTCTTTAATGGCAAGATGGCGGTGGTACTAGCGACTACGGTGTCGTCTGCTTAAATTAATTTTCTTTTTTTTATTTAGGTTAGTTANGATTTTATTTAATATTAATTATTTTATGAATGAAAGCCTATTAAAACTGGCTGATCTAGAATCTAAAAACTTTTAAATGAATTTTTTAATATTGCAAATATATATTTTACATTTTTACTCTTTATACATTATTAATTGTATACAATTTTCAGCAGGTATCTATATCAACAGAGACAGAAATGGACTAGGACTTTCATCCTGGGAGAGCAGAAGTGGCATGGAACATTGTTTTAATGGGACAGGTGTTATCTGCCCATTTCATCACTAAACAAACTGATTTTTAAACAATCAATTTTCATTAAAATATACAAGCAGAAGAAAAAATTTAGTAAGAAGATATGGCAAATGTTCAATTCATATTTAGACAAATAATCAGTATAGGTAAAGGAATAAATTATTTCAGGATAGGCAAGATTTTAGGGTACCTTATCCCATCCACGATCAGAGATTGTTTTTATTTTGTGATTGAATAGTCTATAAATCAACACTACCAGTATTTTATGTCTTTTGTTATCAAATGAACACACTATTTTCCACATATAGCCTCTGAATATGCCTTATTTCTTTTATCAAAAAATTATAAAATAACATGTTTTTAATTAAATATTAATTATGCATTTAAAATTGTTAAGATAAGGATAAATGCAATTGTTTCAATGGCATCAGATTATATAAACTAAATATTCATATTAAACTTGATATATTTACAGAAACAACATAATACGAAAAAACTCACAAAAGTGCTGTTTATATTTGTTTTAATTTCCAAGGTATAGGATAAATTTAGTTACAGTACCAAAAATTAGTTCAATTCTGTTTTTTTTTTTTTCCTTCATTTTATTTTCAGTTGCAAATTCTGTTTTATTAAATATACATTAATTTTTCATATTTTTAAAAATATTTTTCAGGAAAATTGACAAAATATTTGAATAGTTTGATTGATTCTATTGATCATAAATTTTACATTGTTGAAAAATTTAACATGCTTTTAAAGGTACAGTATGTTCTTGTATTTCAATTTTTTTATAATGAATTTTGATTGATATAAATAAAACTCAAATATTCTTGGAAATATGTTATATTTAATATATTTATATATAAATATTTAATCAATCAATCAATTTCAAAAACTTCAATTTCCACAGAATATCAGAATTTCTTTTATTCTAGGAAATAAATTGAAATTTACCTCTAATGATATCCTTCCGAACCAAGCAAAGAATGTACTATACCTTGTACGAAGTAGACCACTTATATTCCTAAGAATTATATATGAAATTATCTGAAAAATTTTAAAGACAAACAGTTAAATCCTGAAAAATAAGAAAAGTATAATCTCTTAAATGCCAGAAGTGTTTTAATTGGTTTATTTAATCTGTTACCTACACCAAATTTTATAACAAAAGAATGTGCTAGGCATCTGATTCAATCTACAGTATGTTATTTGAACAAAAATAAAAATTATTATTATTATTAGTCCGTAGAAATGTTTCTAAACAATTATATATATAAAAGAAACAGTAAATAAAATTACCAGAAATTCATATTTGTATTTCAGTATGATGAATGTACTTTAGAGTTCCCCACAAGTTTGTTATACTATCCCCATACTTTAACTTTATATAAAATAAATTGTTATAATATAGCACAGATAATTATAAAAGTATCTACAGTATTCAACATCATAAACCAAATTTTAAAATAAATTTATTGTATGTAAACAGCTAAACAGTGCACCATAAAGAGAGTAAGCATATATAATATATCAAAATGCAATTTTTACCATAAATATACATCCAGCAATGATGTGAAACAACCTTTATAATGGTAGTGTAATGTAAAATTTTCCAGAAATTTTTAAGGAAACAAATATTAGTTTTTAAATTANAGCCAACTCCAGCTTTATTTAGTATACCTTCCTCATCACACATTTCTAAGTATTTGAAAATATTTCTTTTCCACTAAAAATTAAAATATGTATAAAGGTTTACGGCTTTGTGAAACTTCTTTTTTGAGTTGATGCATTTGAAATAAATAAAAAAATAAATAATTTTAAAAATTTTCGGTTTTGTGTACACGTTTATTGGGCCGCATTCAAACTTCATTTGGGCCGCATGCGGCCAGCGGGCCGCGGGTTGGACACCCCTGATTTAAATGATCAATAGCAATAAATTTAGAAATGAATTTTTCTTTTTCCAAACAAATATCATTGGTACAAGCTTGTTTACGTCGTTTTGTTTTGACGTAACGAGATTCTACAAAAAAAGCCTTCCCCTATAGTGTAATTATTTCACATCTGTTAGCCAATAATGTACAAGTAATTTAATTTAAGTAATTTAAAAAGAGCCACGCGAAAAAAACAAGAAGCTTGTTTTAAAAATTTTGAGTACATTTCTTGGAAAATATATTAAAGTATGTATTATTTTTATCAAAAAGTGAAACGTAGAAATAATATTTAGAACACCCTGTGAAATGTCTTTTTGTATTAATTTATTATTTGAATATAAAAATAACGCCATTTTCCTATCAATAATTATATTCTCAATGAACTTTCCAGATATCTACAGGTGGTCTGAGCGGTTAGTCAGCTGCGTAAAACTTTTAACGTTTATAATTTCTGATAAGTGCATCCTTTGCAAAATGTTTCAGATAAAAGATTCTTTATTAATAATCATAATATGCAAGAAACTTTTATCTTTATTTACAAAATACGTGGATCATTTTGTACAATTTTGAGAGAATAATCGAGAGGTGTTTGAAAATTTTTCAATCCACACATTTGTTTTCGAAAGCTCTTCGGTAAATGCTAAAGCGTAGTGTAAAATAAAAATTTTCTTTGTATATGGATTTCGTAACTATATACTATTGCGATTTGAATATTTACCGAATGAAATATATTTCTATCTGTAATAAATGAAAAGCATAACAACTGTATTATTATTGCACTATACATTAAATTAATTATATGTATTCATTATAAATAATAATGATTGTGTGTGTTAATTTATGGTAATGCAACACTTGGGTGATCTGCCTTTCTTTTTAACGATAACTGGTTCCTATTCAGGCGTTACAGACATGGAGAAAACCCGGAAAACTCCACGTTGCCAGCCCGTCCTGGCGAGGCGCAAACCCACGACTAACTCCGAGTGTTCAGTGAACGGAACCGCTTGGCCGCTGGTGGGCCTATTAATGATTGGTTATGCAATGTTTAAATAAAATATTTGCATGTTTAGCAGCGTATAATTTATAAATATGAGTTAACAAAAAGTTATGAATATCTATTATAAATAGTCATTTCACATCAGAAAACTGTTAATTATAAAATTTCCTATAGTTGAAAATAAACTTTTGTCGTCTTAAGTTTGATGTTTATATTCTATATTATTAACACTAAAATAGGCTCTAATCCTTAGACATACTCGTATCAAATTTATCCTGAGATACTAAACAAAATAGATGTTAACCAACGGCCACAGAAGGACAACAACACAACATACATATGAACGAAATCTGTTTTTTTTTTTTTTTTTTTTTTCCTGTTATTACTGTGAACTAGTTTATCTGTATAGTATATTATAATTTGAACATAATCAGAGCAGTAGTTATGTACAGTTCAATTATGAATTGTTCTGTATAACTAAAGAAGCTGTTTCTGTGTTTCTGAATTATATAAAGTCAAAAGAAAATAATATAACGGTAAGTTTCTGTAATTACAATTGGCTGTTGTTGCACTTATTCAATTCATTTTTATAATTTTTATCTTTAATTTTGTCCTGTTGTTTTGTAATGAAGAACTAAAAGTG